ATATTCTCATTTAAAAATGCAGTATCATTACCACGTTTCAGATGGTGAAAAGTAGCTTCAGGTTCAATGGAAGTATAGTGAACATATTCCAGGCAATGCATTCTTCACATAAAAACATGCAATTATAAAGACATTCTACTTTTAAAACTTCCTCAAATCAAGTTTTGCAATACAGCAGGATATCTGAGGAAAGAGATAAGGACCCATACTGAAAAAAACCAAAAGCCTTCAGCTTGATTTGCGCATGTTTAATCTACAATTCCAATTCCCAAATCTTCACATATCACCTATGAGACAAAAAGAACACATCTCGTAAAGATCAGTCTCAAAGACAGAAGACATGTTACAATTTTTACAGTCATTCTGATTTAAAAAAAAACAACAAAATACGCTGCTGCCACCTTCCATTTCAGGAACTGTAATTCACCACGGCCCCATTATAAAACTGCATCTCTTCAACATACCCAAGGGGAGAGAATTTTGCTCTTCCCTCCTCCACCCCAACTCCTCATCCCCTTAGCCCAGCTCTGAAAGTCATTCAATTGCACAGTAAGAATGTTCAGCTTCCTAGCTTGTCAAAATGCAGCTTTGATGTGGCTCTGCCACTTAAGCTGAATTAGTTTATCACATACTCTTAATCTGAATGTGAGACAGAGCAAAGTAAATAGAGCAGAAAAGGAAACCAGAAAGGGACCACTCTCTCTCTCTGCCCCCTTGTAACAGCAAGCTATTAAATCGGCCTGGTGGCTGAAGGGAGACACAGAAGAGAACAGTCTCTTGTCAGGCTGCCAACACAATTTGATTCACCAGGCAGCCAACACCAAGAACTCCATTCCCTCCAGGTTCACCCGACGAGATATTGCCAGCTGACTCTAACAGATTTCAGTAAGTTCTTACTGATCTCAGTATCTTCGTCCAGCACAGAAACACTGCATTCAATGCCAAGTGCTGAAAATTACACCAACAAAAGCTACACATGCCACCTCTCCACTGACACTCCCCCCCCAAAAAAATGAAACAAAAAAACCACCCAAAACAAAACAAAAAGCAAACAAACCCCCCAAACACCCACCTAACCATTGCCATATCATCATCACTACTGACTTGATTCAGGGTGCTAAAGGCTCTGTTGAGCAAGAGTTCCCAGTTTTACCAGACACTTGGGATGTTGATGTGTAACAAAAACGTTTACAAAACGTTGTAACAAAATCCTTATTACATATTGTGGCAACAACTGAAAAAATATTCCAGAAATTCAGAATGCCATTCTTAACCTACTGGTACATGCTTCAAAGTACAGCTGGTACTGTTAACAGTAGCTGCATGTCTAGACAGGAGAAGTCTGCTTTCATGGGGCAGCTAAATAATCAGCCTGGCCTGTTGTGTCCTATCGGCTCCTCTCAAAGTAAAACCAACACCTTTTGCTTCCGATTGAGCTCCTCAAAACCTGCAAGTGCAGATGCTGCCTCTGCCTCAGACATCCTCTGAATCACAAGGCATAGGAAGCAGGTAACCACTGCAACATGCTTGTTGGGCTCTTCTCTGCACAACTACTACTGGCTAGTCTTAGAGAAAGCTTAGCAGGCCAGGCAGAAAACCAGGATGACCACTCCTGAATCAAGAAGTGATTAAAATAAAAAGTCTTTGCATGTTTGGCAAAAGTTGTTGCAATGGTGTCTCTCCGTGCCAGTTACACCCTGGCACATGTCAGGAATTCCCAAAGTGTAACAGCCCGGCTTTGGCAGCAATATACTGGAGCCCAATTTATTAAGTCAGCATGGATTAAAAGCATTCTCGCTGTAGTTAAACTATCCTACAATCCCTCTGGCATACCTCCAGAATTTAGCACTAATTACTGGCAACAGGTTACTGGACTACATTCATGTACTCAGGGGGGCAAGGGTGAGGGGCAGGGGGAAGGAGGTATTGCTATCTAATCAAACTTCCCTAGTACATGCAAAGAATCTCCTCCAAGCATCGCTTAGAGACAAAGAAGAATCCAGTCCAGGGGTCATTAGTAAAAAAATCCAAATTTTCTAGTTAAATTGGTACTGCAGGTAAACTCACTATTAACATGCATTTGGATCTGAAATATCTACGGTTCATTTTCGCTTGCTATCAAGTCTGAAAGCTGAAGCTAGTTTAAACAGTTATTTACCATCAAATTTCTTTTCCCATTTGGCATTTGTAGACCATAAACTAAAATTTCTGAACAGAGGGGCCTCTAGTTTTCACTTTGAACACCAGTCCATTTTGACATGTTCATAGCTCCTTTTTAAAAATCACTTGAACTTTACAAATTTTCTCCCCAACACTAACACAGCCATAGCAACACACAACACTAACAAAATTCATTCTACAATAACAACATCCCCTAGTCCTCCCAGGGCTCTTGCCCAATTGATTTGTTCAGTGTCACCATTGGGGCGGCTGTCTGCTTCACATGGGCACCATGCTTTAGCTTTGTATAATCATACCGCAAGAATGCCTCTAGTAAGAGACCCTCTGTCCGATTTCAGCAAAATTGGACAGAGGTCCCAGAGACACGTTCTTGCATGTTTTATGAAAAATGTGCAGCTAGAAAGTGAAAGAACTCGGGCCGGGGGCAGGAAGGAGGGCAGAAGGAACCCACAACACATACAGCATCATCTCCCACATTAGGCAGGCTGTAGCCTAAGCAGAAGAGGCAGATTAAAGATTGTCCAAACGGTAGGGGAATCACAAGGCACCTATCCTGCAAAAATATTCATAGTGGGGGCGGGGGGGGGAAGACTCATTAGTTCTGATCTTTATATAAACTTTTGGTAGTTAACATATTTGAAACTAGAAATACCGGTTTGATCCAATACAATAGGTCCAGTTCATCAGTCTGGAAAACCATGTTTACCTAGAGCTGCTTACACCCACTTACTCCAAAAGTAATCGATTTGAGTTATAACAGTAGGCAATAAGCTTCATGTTTCTAATCCTCTCTTGCTACTGTTTCAAGCTCCACACATTGTCTCCTTCCTGTCCTGTACTTTTTAACCTACCATTCTCCTTTTGCTAACATGTGTCAGCTTTTTGACTGAGGTCAGACTAATGATTCGCTTCGGAAGATTTTTGTCATCGTGCTTCCAAGGAGAGCAAACTGCTTGTTGGAGGCACTGCAATTCGGCCTTTTATTGTCATCATTCCTCAGCAGCACAGCTGGCCTTACAAGACCTAACTATATTGAAGATGAACTACGGACAAACCCATTCAGCTCAAATGACTGTAACTACCTTTGTGAAAGGCTGAAACGAAACAGGTAGTGCCAGCATTAGAAAGATACTCCAGGAATCTTCACACTCTGCTATTTCTACTTACACTTCAGATTTTATAAGCACACTTTTCAATTTGCAGGTTCTTTAGCTTTTCTTCCAGCTTTCTGCCAGATCTCAGCTTTGTTTTTTTTAAGAAAAGCTTTTGGTTTTATAGGTATTACATAAAAGCTGAAGTACTTACCACATCTCTCCCCTCCAGCATGAATATTGCGCTGCAGGTATCCGCAAGACACAATCCACAGACTGACAAGACTTCTCTTGATAACGCCTTTTGGTTCCTCCTTGAGCTAGAGTTTAAACCCTCTCAATATTTACTATGATATTACATCAATGTTCAGTTTTGTGTTAAGGAAGAGGGAGAAGACTTAGTTTTTAGTATTGAAGAGATAGTTAAAAAGGCAGTTCTGGAAATGTTGATAAGCTTCTGTTGGAGACATAAATGTCCCAATACATTGTTTGGTTTAGTTGCGGGTTGTTTATTTGTTCAGTTTTGGAGATGGTTGGTCAGTCATATTCCATTCTCATGTGCTTCTTGTAAGATAAAGGCATCACAAAAACTTGCACCTGCTGGTGACATTAGAACTACAACCTGACAATTTCCCAGTACACCTAAAAGTTACACTCCTACAGGGAAGAGGCAGAATTTTTTTTTTTTTTAAAGTAAGCATTAGTAGGAATATTTGGAAGGAAATTTAGGGTGAAACATCTGCTCTGCAAAGTAGAAGTTCAGATTATATTTCCCCAGCTGAAACCTCTGTCATTTCTGGAACATTCACTCTAAAATTAAAAAAAGTTATTGCTTCTATTGAAGCTCAATATAAGTTAGAAAAAGAATTGCATATTTTCTTAAAAACATTCCAAATATACATTTTAAAACCAAAATGCACTCTAAAACAAGTCTAGTAAAAGACACTGTTTTAAGCAACCTGTAGTAACAGCTTTACAAAAGAAAATTGAGGAATGTAGCATATTATCTATAACATGACAATGCTAAAATCCTAAACAATTCACTTAACACCCTTAATAAGTAGTGTTTTAAATATACATATTTCTTTACAAAACAGTTTAGCAATTCCTTATACCACTTTACAGTATATAAATAGTTGAATAAGAGGTCATAATGGGAGATGCCAGGGTTAATATTTACTCTCAGATGCTTCAGGTTTCTTAAGTATTTTACTGTAAGGCACAATACTGCTAATCTAAAAGAAAGGAATAAAAGCTAATGGCAAACCCAGTCAAAACTCCTAATGTGGAATATCCAAGAGAACAATTCCAGCATCTCTATGCAAAGGAAGAGAAAAAACAAACAAACCTGAACTTTGTAGATCCTAAGAAACAGTTGCAATTTGTACATAACTAAGTAGAACAGGATGTGAGCAGGGGTAAGAAGGAATTAAGTAAATTCTTATAAATAGACTAATAAATATATTTTAGCCGTAATTAGCCCTTTACCTCTGTTCTACTGAGTTTAAGATTGAAAGAGGTAACCAGTGTGCATATACCTAAATAAGTCTACATGCTCAGCACGTGAAGACCACCTAGCACAACCTATTACTGCCAAATTCCATAGCAAGATGGAGAAAGTCTCCTTTTCTCTCAGCATCCACTCAGAGTAGAACACATTACAAGATCAAATCAGTATTTGTTACATATAACGAAAGTTGAAGCTAGCAATTTTTTCATCACAAAAAAGGATATGCAACATATCTATGAAGTTGTAAGATTCCTTCAAGGTTAGATTATATCTTTTCTAAGAATATCTGTCTCCAATTACAACAGATCAGAACTTTCAGAACATTTTAATAGTTGTAGTCTTGTAAGTGTTCTCCATGTGTACATACTGAATGTAAATAGTGCATCCAAAATATTTATCCGTGAGACATTCTACATTGTTTTCACTGCCTAGTCTTCGTCTTTGTTACAGCCCTCTGGAACACAATGACATTGTAACAATGCTTACAGAAAAAGGGTTATTGCATCTTTTTTTAGGATGAGACATCCAGAGGAGATTTTATAAAATCCTCCTGTGTACAAAATTCTTAGTTATTAGCCCTTTTGGAACACCAGCTAGAAAAGTTTGAAAGGTAAAATAATTTATATTGTTATTTTTTCCATTAACTAGACAAAAGTCCATACTAATTAAATAAAAAATAATAGTTCTTCAACAGTCTATTCAAAGTATCTTCCATGAAGCAGTTCAGTGGGAACTTCCATTAGATAGATGTTCTCCATGCCGGTTATTACTGACATCCACATCTAGAAGACAGGAATTAGAAGAAGAATTGTTGTTGATCTAGTATTTTAATGTATTTCGTCTGTTACATTAATCCAAACTCTGGCAACAAATTTCATATTCATATATGCCTAAGGTTCTCAAGTTTCTCTGGGTAAGTAATCCTAAGACACATCCCTTTTTTTTTCTTTTCCTCCTCTCAAGACTAGTTTTCTCCAACTCAATAGCATTCTCTCAGAATCTACCTGTTTGTATTTTCTGAACATCGGGATTAAGTGACATCACTCAGTCTGGTCCGCAGTGCAACACACTAACACTACTAGCATCACTTGCAGAATGGCTTCTTCTAACACAATGAATGGCCTTAAGGATTGTCAAGTGAGAAACTAAATTATTACTTACCAAGTAATGCTGTGGTTTCACCTGCGTCCTCTTTTAAACTGGTACATTGCAATACAGATTCATTAGTGGAGGAAGCCGACAATTCGCTTACTTCATTTCTGTCATCATCTTGTAAAGCAATACTCAGACTTCCGACTGAAACACTGCCGCTTATTGATTCAGGTATTGGAACTTCAAGTACATCTTCAGGGTCCCCCTTCAAAATTAAATATATTTAAATGACATTTTTGTCTACATTAGGCATCAACATTCCTCCACGTTACCACTTTGTAACCTCACCTTATTGGAAAAAAGACCGTTTTTTGCCTATTATCTATGCACTCATGGGTACAGTGTTGAGTAGTGTCTACTTTCAATGTTATTGTCCAACTGCAAAGAAACAAAGCCAAGCAAAAGAAAAGCCACTTTTTCAAAGCTACCCCAAAGCCAAAAGCAGCAACAGCAGGAGTGAACCCAGCCAGCCTTTTGGATGGATTATTTCAACACTGTAGGAACAGTATTGCTGCAGCCTGGTTAGAAGCAGGCTGAGCACATATGAAGTCTTCACTGAGCAAACCTATTGATCCTTTATGAGTCTGTGGAAGCCTCTGTTTTTCATGATAGCTGGGCAAGCTTAGATTTTTTCTTCCTGCTGGGATGAGCAAACATTTGACATCAGAACAAACTTCTCTCCTCCTCTACCTCCAGCCTAACTTTAAATCTGTTCCAAAAATGCAAATATGCTGGCTTGTCACTTGGCAGGAATAAAACATCTGCAGCGCAAGCAAAGGAATTAATTTCACCTATCGTATAGCAGCTACTTCTGATCCATTCTGAAAGTTAATTACAAGTCCTACATGCACAATTCTGTTCCTAAAATTAAACAGACTACCTTCATTACGATATTGCCATTGATATACTGACATTATTTCTACATAAGCAAGCACAAGTAGGTATTCTGTGAGCTTCATAATGAGCATTTTCCCCCTCCCCAAACAATTAGCAAAGGCCCATCTTAAGATTTAAGAAATTCTAGGCTGATTCTTTCTTTAGCACAAAAGCAGCATATTTTAAAATGTGCTGAATTTTAATAAGCTATAGACCTGCTACCACTGAACACAAGTTAAGATATATATGATACTAATCTCTACGTGTGTGCGTGGGGGGCATTAATGATGTTGGTTTCCAGAACTTAAGGCACTTTAAGCACTGAGACTAAAGGATTCAACAATGCTCTACTAAATCAGTCAGACATGCTAAACTGCAGGGTTGGTGGTTTGTTTGTTTGTTTGATTGTAAGAAATAGCATAATGCAGAACTAGACCACTGAAGTCTGCTCTTTACAAAACAAAAGCCAGGTAATAGGACTTAATTCCTTCTTTCTACTTTGAGCCTTTAAAAATTTTGAAGCATCTGAAGTATTTTTTTTCCATAAAACTGAATTGAGCCTTCAACCTCTTTGCAGAAGATTTAGTAGATTTCTATAATAAGGCTGCACATTCTTTTCTGCAGTTATGTCACTCAGTAAGCACTACTGAAAGAAGCTGCCTTGCTCTTTGCACTTTTTTTGCCGCCTCACATCAGTAAAAAATTCATACAATCACTCTGCAAACTAGATTGGGCAACCTGGATCAGGCTGAAAACTAAGCTAGAAGAAAGAATACCGAATTATTTCCCACGTTACTAGCTTCAGTGGGACTTCAATGATTGATGCATAAGCAAGACACATTTCCCCCATTCCGTCAGAAAAAAAGAACTAGGCTTCTGTACTTAATATAATCCCATTCAACCTGCTTTCCAACACTCATTTTGCCTAAAGAGCAGAGGAGGTATTGCTGCTCCTGGTTAGGCTTGGTATCAGTATCCTCTGCAATAGCATGAATTCAGAGAATAAGTGTTCTGAAGGTTCTAGTATTTTAGTTTTCAGACTGTATACAAAAGGATACATCCTTCTGCATATAACACAAGTTACAACTCCAAGAATTGAAAGTAAGCATAAAGTGAGCTGCTAACATAACAATATTAAAGTAATAATAGCTGTTTCACATGACAAAAAGATTGCAACTCTTGGGTAAAGTCTGACTTAATAAACAGAAGCGCCACAATCTGGTGTGTATGTATATTACATAGGAAGAGTATTGTCACCTTTGACAAAACAAAAAAAGTAATTCATAAAAGTCTTCCACAGATCTGCTAAGTCTCTGCAAAGAAATAAGAGAAAAGCTAGTCAAAATGCAGACAGTCTATGAAAGAAAGGTCCCTGAAACCAAGGAACACTCCTATTTTATGAAGATCTCTGTAGATCAATAGAAAAGAGGTACATTCATGCCTATGGCATTTTAGTGGAACTCAATACTATTTATCAACAGTGACTGAGTAACCTACCGCATGTGTCTTCATGTCTCTTTTCTGGTGCTGTCAGAAAGAAATGAGAGCACATCATTTTCTCCACTTAATTTCTGGTGAATGTCTTTAGGAAGATTCTAAGTACTGGCTTCTATACAGGGATAAAACGTTGGGCATATGTGGAAGTACACAAATACTCAAGATAAAAAAAAATGTTTCTTGCTTTGAATCGCAGTTCTCAACTCGATCAAATATATGCTCTAGATTCTACTGAATTAAATTATATTTTTGCAGCCTGGGCAAATTGCCTCACCTCTGCCTCAACTTCCTTACTATCATCAGCTGGAGATAGAAAAAAATTCACAGAAGAGTACGCAGAGGATTTATAAGCTGCTCAATGCACTGTTTAAGCTCTTAGATATAAAATTCCCTTATTTTTCTGTTTCTCAATCAATTACTCTTGCATCTTTGCCCAGCTGCTTCAGTCTCATCCAGTAACAACTGTTCTCATTCTGAACAGTTACATGAAGTCTTGCCTCCTGCACTGTACTTCTACCTTGAAGATTAAAGTAAGTGTGCAACATACCCAGTATCCCAAAGCTTTTATAACGTCTAGTTTACACATTGGACAAGTTCGGTGGTCCAAAAGCCAAGGGTCAATGCACGTTCTATGGAAGATGTGCCTAAAGAAAAGAAATGCCCTTTAGAACATATCATGAAAGCCACACACTAGTCTGTCAATGTGCAAGTTATTACTTTAAAAAAATAAACCCATTCCTTTATAACCTTGACAATTAGGTACTGCTTAATTTACTAGGACAGACATGTTTCTGGATAGCTTTCTGAAACAAGATGTTACTAACCACAAGGACACCACAGAGCTACCAGTTCACAGTGTACAGTTCTTAATACTAAGAGAGCTCTACTTCACTCCTACACTTCTCCCAATCGTTCCTTTTTCCTGCATAGTTATGAAGCGCTACGTTGTCTTCCAATGCCCTTCAACATATAACAGGCCATATAAATGGCACAGCTTCAGCTCTGCCACCAGAGTTTCAGAAGCGTTTCCAGAAAGCTCATCACATATCTCCTAGGGAAAACATGCTAAAAAGGAAAGAATAATTACGGCAGCTTACTTGCATGGCAGAATTCGGACAGTGTCTTTCAGTTTATAATTCTCAATGCACACAGCACAGTTTTCCACATCAACATCTAAACCCTAAAGATGACAACACATTTAAATGCATTACATCCATATTTCATTACAGAACAAGCTTTGTGTAATAGCTAGCTTCACAGAATGTAAAATGTATAAAACAGTTTAGCAAATAAAAATATCTTGCTCATTTAATACAAGATTCCATCAAGAGGTGATTTGATCAAGTGATACTAATTATTAAAAGCAGCCAAACTCAGATTTTCTAGTTTAAATAGCTATACATGGTACCTCAAGTAATTTGTAACGTCTCAAACATTGGCTTTGCTCATGGGAGCACATTAAAATTTCAGTTTAAAGTAACTATAAAATGAAGACATTTTAAAAGAGGTCAGCTCAGATGAAAGTGCACAATCTAATTCTTAAATATGGTCCCAAAGACTTACAAGTGCTTAAGGAGGAAGAGATTCTTAGGGATGAATACAGCAAACCCCTTCTTCCCCACTGTTGTTTTGTTTTTTTTCCACCACATCCTAGCAGATATCCTTTGGCAGCTAGAGGAGAACTGAAGTATGCAATTTGGGATAGTTTTTAAAACTTCTCTCCAAGCTCACACCAGAGAGACAGTCAAAACTCCCCATCCCAATTTTTTTTCTTTCTAAGGGTTATATATTTTTCCTAACAGGTCTTACTGCCTTCTTGAAGCCATGCTTATAGTTAGTTGCAGTGCAAATATGATGCATATCTCCAGATACAAAAGAAATAATTCAAAGTTAATTGGGTTGTATTATAAGACGCAAGTATTAGAACAGACAGGGGACCAACTTCCCTTTCATCCCCCACAAAATAACTATTTTGTGTTTACTGCTTACTGAAGCACTTCAATTTCATTCCCACAAATGCTCAAATGGATTAGCACTGCAAGCGAGCTTTCAAGTTCAAGGCAAGATTTTTCTCCTTTGCATACTATCAATTTACATAATCAATGCCTTAAATGGCCAAGTAAATCAAATTAAGACTGTTTTTTACATAAGCAAAGGTAAGACAAGTACTTATTCTATAACAAGTATTTTTTATTCTGTATAAAAGGCAAAATCCAAGCACACCATATGTAGCACATGCTCAAGTAAGTGTCCATTTTACAATAATCCCATAAGCTTCTCAGGAAAGATCTACATGATAGCAAACACACTTTTAAAATATTGACCTATTTTTAGTTAAATACCCCAACCTCAAGTGAAGTGATAATGAAAGACTGTACTGTGTCACAATAAAGGAAATATACTCTTTTAATCATAATGGCTGAAAGGAAGTATTTAAAGAAAAAAAAAAAAATGTACATTTACAGAGTAGAGAGGACTATATTTCCAGATAAATTTACATTAGTTCACATAACACCTCTGCATCATTAAGTTACATAAGTTTGCTGATAGTAGGCTGATTCAAATCAAATAAGACGACATGATTTACCAAGCAGAAAACCTCTATTTTAATAAAGATATTTTAATCTAATCTCATTCTACTTTGCTGAAATAACATGGCATTCATAGTTACAACCAACAACTTAAATTCCCCCATTTTATTTATTTTAGTCAAGGGTATATCGATGGGAAGGAACTGCCTGGTACACTGCAAAAATTTCATATTACAAATCCGTTTTAGAGGTTTACTGAACATGAACTTAAAAGCAGCTAACTGCTTCCTTGTGGTTCTCACCAGAGGTTCCAACATGACCCTTTTACATTCATTACTTCCTATGCTGATGTTTTGCTTTGATACTGCTTTACACAAGTTTTTTGGTTCAATTCCACCTTTCTTGATCTTGGAACTCACTATTGCATGAACAGAAGTATGACTTTTTGATGGAATTTAGAATATAATTAAAAGTAACAAATACTCGTAAAATGCTACTTAAACATGCTGAATGCATAAAAGAAAAAAGGTAAGTTCAAAGACAGTTGGGTTTTTTCATTTCAAAACCAATGTACTAAATGAAGGGCATATTCTCTGCAGCATGTGACCTAAGCTGAACAGCTTCTGTTGAACCACAGCTTCTCAAGTTCTTACACATAAATTTCCTTTCTCACCTTAATTTTATTCATGAATTAAAAAAACCTAATCCTTGTTTTTCATCTCTGAGCAAATCAGTCCTTAAGTAAAAACTAATCAAGTAAAACAAGTAAGGGTGGGAAAAAAAGTCTGCATAGTAACAGAAGTCTAGTCAAACTAACTCAGCATCTAGGATCAGAGCTGCCTCAAACTCCGACTAAATATTTTAATTCAAAACCTTGACTTTTTCTACTTCAGTTATTCTAATACAGCTATGAGACTAGGCTATATGTCATCAAAACTAACTTTCTGAAAGCTGTTTTCATTTTTAGAATAGCTTTATTTTAATACAGAGAAATGTACTTCTAAAAAATTTATGCTTCAAGTAAAGTCTATGCAGCTCCTTAATGTATTGTATGACAAAACATAAAACAAGTGCTCCATTTTTCAAAGCTTTTTAGATTTCTAAGGCCTTATGATCAATAAAAAGATGGATGTTCTTTTAAGAAAACAAAACATTACATCAGCTGTAAGAACTGTGCAATCAATAGGTCCCAGGAAGTATTTCACAATCCACTTGTTGATGTTTTCAAGTGCTGATAAGATATTAGCGTTTCCTCATCTTTACAGTATCAGCCCTGTAGTCTCCTGCAACATTCTGTATAACCAGATATTATCTGCAACAAAACAGCCTTACATTTCATAAGTAGTTCAAATTTGATTCTTCAATTTTAAACTTGGTCTTCTAAGCAAAGGTGCTAAAATGAGCCTAAAATTCTAAGACTCACACTGCAATTACATTGTGAGAATTTTAGTTTAAATTCTATAAAGACGTTACAACAGTTTTTACATCACACAGCAATAAGCAGAGCCACTGAATTACCTTTTCGCCACGTTTCACAGTATGCAGCTGAAGCTGGCTGATTGCTTTCTTGGTTTCTTTCCTATGTCCCTTGAAAAAAAAAGGTTTTAAATATTAGTGCACAAGTCAGTTTTAAGAGTTACATTTCAAAGCTTTTCCATGTGGATTACTAAGTCTTTTGAATGCATTTAAAGATTCATCTCTGGCTAGCTAATTTGTTTTCCATTCTCAGGGCACAGCAGCAAACAGTATCTATAAACATACTGATCTTACAACCAACTCAACCAGTGCAGAACTACGCGGACCAAGTTGACATACCTAGCCTCATATCGTGACTACCTGCATCAAGGGCCTTTCCACACAGGAAAATTGAAACTAATGTAGGCTGTAGAGGCAATCAGAGATGAAACAACAGCTGTATAACCAGACCTTCTAGTTAGGCAAGCCCATGAGCAAGCACACAGTAGGTTTTGCACCAGCTTGAGAGAAGGTGGAATCCTGCCAGGCAGCCTAGAGTTGGCCACCAGGTCAAAACGCTGCTTATAGCTATTAATACTTCCTCTCAGTTAAACACTGTCTCACGTTTCACAAAGCTTTGCACTGAAAGGACACATTATGCAAAAGAGATGACAAGAAAGGCTTAACAGACATGAGACACCATACTGGACTTCTATACAGTAACAGTGCTGATTATGCTTAGAGGGGAAGCAAGAAAAGAAAGCAGTACTGTATTCCAAGATAACGTGCTAGCTACTACTAGAAATTGAGAAACTAAACACTCCGAACTAACAGATGTTGACCTGTTTAGCAGCAACCGTCACTGATGAAATACCATAAAGAAATGAAAAAAGATAACAGCAGCTTTTCTCTGTAATGATAATTACAATGACTTACACCATTTTACAGACTTATAGTATTGAAAATTGGGATTTTTTTTTTTATGGTGTTAAAAGAATTAGTCTGAAAGTTCTCTCAGAAAGGGACAACCAGCAGCAGCCTGTTTCACCTTCTGTATCAGCTCAGGGGTTTTTGCAGAGTCCTGCTTCATCCTCAGGAGCAAGGTCTTCCAAAGGTTTACTGCTAAACTGATGTTGGAATAAATCTTAAAATAGCTGTCTTCACCTTCACTCAGCAGCTACACAGTAACTTGTTGTAAAGCATGGCATACTTAACTCACAAGTTTTAATTCAACTGGAATCAATAAGCCAAGCAAAATAACATTCGAGTTAGAGAGGTGGCTTTTTGTTTCCAAAATTCTTTTAAGACTTCTAATGATATATCTTGATCAATTTTTAAACTTTGCATTGTTTTATAATTTTTTTGTTTTCAATGGCTGTTTTAAAAGGAGAATTGAGGAAAGTGGCATAAGCTTCTAATGCTACACCATTTCATTTAAGAAGCATTTAAATGACAAGCCCAATGGCAAAATCTATTAAGAGTCTGTGGTACATATTTCTGGGAAACATCACACTCAACCTAAAAAACACTCTTAAAACTACTTATAAAGCATTTGAACCTCCCTTAGCGTGAACTACCCCCAAGCCAATATAACAGGAAGAACCAACTTTCTTCACCAAACAACTGTTACAACACACAAACATACCCCTTTTTCTATAAATACTTCCCCAAAATTTTGTTGTCTTGAAAGTATTCTCAGAATGTATGTTCTAAGACTTAAAGCTTAGTAAAAAAGGTTCTAGGGAATCAACATTTGAAGTACACTGCAAGTTTAACCAATACAGAAATCCTATGTGTTATCCTCAGTTACTAAATAGAGAAATTAAGTATTTTTGTAAGAGTCCTGTAAGTCCTAATCAAAGCTCAGACTCCTGAACGCAAACAAAAATTCCCTTCCCTCCTCCTCCAAAGCTAAAATCTACATGTGCAAACAGAAGGCAGGGGAAGTCCACGTGGATAAGCAGTCATTTGAAACTTTTTTTTTTTTCCCCTTGTTCTGAACCGGGGATAAAAACCCCCCCAAGACCTGCTTGCAAAGAAAAACAAGTGCAACTTTCTTTTTCACTGTTAGTAGAGAACTGTGGTAAAGCTTCTGATGACCATGGAAGGAATCTAACTTATTTGCAAGACCTGAAAAGCACAAGGAAGTGCCTTCCTAAGATATTTTTAAGAACTCAGATGGGCTAGCTCCTCAACAACTCTATCTAAGTTGCTCTCTTGAGTGTGGGGGCTTGATCCAGATAGCCTCCAGAGGTCCCTTCCAACCTAAATTATTCTACGATGAAGTACTTCCCTCAGGGGAAAAAAAGTAAAGCTGACCTTTTTTTAACCTATCAAAGAACAACAGGGATTTGGAAGGGGCAAATTAAGAATCAAAGTTATTCCGTCCTGATCTTCCCAGTACTCCCACCACTCTCAGCGCTTCAGATAGTCCCAAAGAGCTGAATCTCACCACACATGCCCCTTCTAGTCTGCTGCCATTCAGTACTCAACAGTGGAGTAGTAGGATTAGAAGTACCAAAAGCAGTTTTCATAAACCTTTAGAAGCAAAATTGTAGCCTTAATTACTTGTGGGTCTTTAGAAAAAAGTTACCATGGTCCCTCTCCATTAGAAAAACAAATCTGGTTAGGGAAATTAGTACTTTCAGAACAAAAATTACTGAAGAATGAAAATAATTTTTAATGTCAAAAGGAAGGAAGTTAAGTTAGGTGACAAATCACACAAGAAGCTGCCTTTACTCAGCTGTTGACAACTGGGCTAAATACATGTCCCACAGCTTCATACAGGTATCTAATAATTACAACTAGCTAAACTTGTGATGCCAATTAGCACACCACTTATTAGCCTCACTAACCATTACTGAGTAGTGTTCACAAGTAGGAAGAAGGCACAGATCTTCAAGAATGCTTCAATAAACAAGCAAAGTTAGGCAACTGATTCAACATGAGAAGACAGTAAATACTCTTAAAGCATCATCATGTCCAATTACCTGGTTTCCAAACTGTGATCCTGTATACAGGAAACGTTGTATGTAGTAAAATATGAGCCAAGCAAGCGATATAATCATCATGGTGATGAAGGCAATGGCTACAAACACAACTGACTGACCACTAATATATTCCTGCACATGTCGCGTGCCAACAACAATAGTCATTTTTACTGGAATCCCTCTTCGTACAGGCTCCAATATTTCTATTCCTTTTGGATAGCCAACCATTATCACCACTGTATTTCCTGTTCCTGTTGGAGGGAAAAAAAGAAGAACACAAACAGTCAGCCATCAAAATTTTAAGCATTCTCGCTTAATGGTAATTTGGGCCTCTTCAGTTAAGATCAGCAATCAAAGTTATAGGAAAACCTCTGAGTTTTTTCAGGCATAGTAGACTTGATACACTGTTTGCTAGTAAAGAACCCTTTATTTATTTCATGAAACTCTCATACACAAGATAAACTTCAACAGATGCATCTTTACTGTTCAAGGTCCTATACATTTCACACAGTGAGGTGGGATATGGATGCCATGCGAAAAATACCAGGCAAGTTATACACATCTCATCTTGAAGTTGCTGAAGTTTTAACATGCAACTCAGGAACAGCTGGTCTTTTATTAGTGTGGGGATTTTAGCTGCAGCTGGAGACAATATGTGAATGCCATGCAGACAGACACATTCGGTTAAGTTTGAGTCTGAATCCAGAGCACAATTACACTGGATATGTGAACAAAAAAAGAAAAAAGATTCAGCTATTTAATATTAAAACATTGAAATATGTAAAGACTCAATACTAAATATTCAAAATGTAATGAGATTTCATGATGTCAAGAAATACTTTGGGACTCTCTCAGGAGCATGGAACCAAAGGATTTTTCTATTGTATTAGAACTCAAAAACACTCAATCTATATCAAAAGGCACCCAATTAAAAAAAAAACAAAAACAAAAAGCAACAAACTTTAAGCACCGTATTGCCAGCAAGATACCATCAAGACTGGTAGGAGAAACCAAAGACCCTCTGTGACTAGTTTTACTCCATTTTGTCTGGAAGCATCTCCAGTATCGTCTCAGAAACATCCAACCTAAGTATTACAAAATAGATTACGAACAAATGTACCTGTCAAAAATGTCACCTTTTCACTGGTCTATGCCATTTTTATTTGAATAGTTTGTACTTTCTGCATACCAACACTGCTATACACCCATGAGAAGTCATGGCTTTATAGCTTACTTGGCACTCCTACCTCTGAGAAAAAGTGAAACTAAGCTTGATTCAGAGAGAAAGTAGAGAAAGAAGAGAGAAGAGAGGGGTTTTCCTAGCCGGAAAGCTAAAGCTGTAATGTCACAGATACCTTTCACAAGATCACCTACCCACAACAAGACCTCCCACTGAAGAGTTAAAGCCTTTTTCCCTCCTGGCTGTGTTAGATTCACTACTGAGAAGCTATGTGAAAAGAAACAGTTGCCTCATTTATAACATTACATCAAGTGGGGATTTTCAAAACTCAAAGCAGCATTCTGGACTCACCCACCCCTCTGTCTACTAAAACAAAACGTTATTTGCCTGAAATATTTTAAACTCCTTCAGTTGAGACTGTTTTGGCTGTGACACCTTGTCAACCTGGCCACTCCGCTACCATGCCAAGGGGAATTTGCAGAAGTTTCGCTCCTGCACATAGCAGCTCCTCCCTCTGTAAGGTCCAGATGGTCTGCAGTGGATAAAACACTAAAGGTTCCAGTTATTAGTTGACTAACCCTCCTATCTCAGTGCCAGTTACCCTCTTCCAGCTTCACCTTATGCAACCGTCCCATTTCTGGTCTGGTTCTGTAAGAACCATGATACCCATCTGCCAGATACAGACACAGCAAAAGAGCCCATTTTCCAAATAGGTCTACATTTCTGGAAGTTTTCAGAATGGTGCAGGCAAAGAAAAAGGTGCTACTTATGCCCCTCCTCGAGTACCCCACTCAGTTCACCAGCAGCACCCACGCACCTCCCAGCATGTCTTGCCTTGCCTGGTGGGTGCATCAGGAGACACAAAGCAGTGAAACTGAAGACAAACAGGACAAATCCACAAGCAACTAGGCTCCACTAATTAGTTCTACTCACCAAGAACATGCTGATCCACATGATACCACAAGTCTAAGCATACTAAGAATTAATTTATTATTATTCTCCTCTCTGAACCAGCATGAAAGCGTTACCAGAGACACTCATGAATCTCATAGAGAAGAGAGTGTGTGAAACACTCCTTGCTTTCTGACTCTGCACAACCCCACAGGGAGTTAACAAGAAAAGAACGTATGAAGGTAGAAGTTTCTCTCACATTGCTGAGAACTGTTATCCACATACCTAAGTCAGATTAGGTCCTATGTCCTTAATCAACTGCAAGAGTTAAAAATAACAGGAGGGGTGCCTAAGGATGGCTAGTGAATAGTACAGGAGTGCAGGAAAGATTTATGTGGTTTCATTCAGGCTTGAGGAGGAAAAGAGTTTCAAGATTAAAGGCAGCCTGGATTTTTCAATCAATAAAAGTTTCCTCCTCAGTCCCAAAACCTGGAGTCAATTTAATCCTGCTATCTAATTCTCTGCATGATTTCTAAGAAGTATTTAAAAACACCACAACAATCAGTAATGCCTTTCTCTGTTGTCACTAGCATGTCCAACCATCAGACAGTTATTTCCTTGAAATGGAAGTCAGGATACTTTTGTGCAATGAGACACTGTGACACTCTCTAGTTTTAGAACTAACTCAAGTATGCCATACATTTTTAAATAAATGCCCATTAAAAGCATTTTAACAATTTTAAAGACTTGGTGATGAACCTGCCATTAAAAATACATGCAACTAAACATGATGGCCTTGAAGGTCACAAGACAGAAGGAGAGGGAGAAGAAAAATAATTGCAACCCACTATTACAAAAGTAACAAGAGCAGTCTCAGAGAAGCAGCTGCCCTGAGCAGCCTGTTAAGACTAAGGACTTTAACTCATTCCTCACTAATTTTAGACTTCTTTTCTGAAACACATTATTCAAAGACTGAAATGCTGTTGAGTCACTCCATTGGCTTCTTCAACTGCAACACAACTCAGAGACCACAAATCACACTTAGAACTCCAAGTGTCACATACACATATCTACCGAGAGTGTGTTTTGTTGGCTTCACCTTTCCCTAACTTTCTAATTTTGCAATAAATAACCACATTCTTACTCTGCTAGAGTAAACTTGTTTTCTTTTCTAGGTTTGATTGATGCTTCAGTGGAAGCCAGTAGATTTGAAATCCGGTATGTGCTTTTTTTTTTTTTAACATTATCATCCAAATATAGCAGTGAGAGCTGGCAGATCCTTAGGATACCTCGAAAGAACGGCAGCTTTGGAACTCTGAAGATGAAGACTTTCCTGCCAGTGTGCCAAGGTCAGTTTTAATGCTAGTATTGCTAGTCTTCTCTTGTAAAAGGAAACGAGCACTCTCCTGATGAGCAAAAAGTAGTATAGATACAGATCTTCATTCCAGGCATCCCAAACTATCACATCTATTCCCATTCATGCCTACAGATAACAAAGACAATTTTCTATCATTCGGAAACCAGTTGCAGACATACTCTAGTTTTTGTCCTCATGAGACACACCAGAAAGCTCCCAGACTTTGGGCACCTTGGGAAAATGTTTGAGGTCAATGCTTAAATCCATTTAAGCATAGGCACCCTACTGATATTGCCACAATTAACACTGAATGTTCTCTATAGCTCCTGGTCCAAACAAATGATCAGGTGACCCGCCTAGTGGATGAGGG